TGTTTTGTCTGCTGCTGGCTTTTGACCGAGAATCGCTTCCTCTGCCCTATTCATGTTGGCAAGTGTGACATTTGTGTTAGATGCAGCTTCATGGTGCATTCGTTCGTCTGCCAGCCCCTTTGACGACAGACTGTGTGCCCGTTTGCCGTTCTTGGTTGACTTTAGATCGGGTAGTTTACGGAACTTCTTCTCCAGCACTGTTTGAAGTATTGCTTTGTGTTTGCCGGTTCTTTCGACCACTTAGTTAAACCAGTTGTGTCCCGTCGTCGCCTATGAACTCGCAGCCTCTTGTTTTCGAAGTTTCAAGTGTCACTCCCGAAGAAGCACACAGATCATTAGTCATCCGCGGTTTGAACTACTGCGCGTCTCGTCTGTTCTGTGTTAATCGGAGGCACATTTCGGCGACACATAATTGTCGAGATATCTGTAGATATAATTACATAACCAACGAAGGGCACACGCTTCTTTCCATCGAGTCTATCGAAGCACGTCGTGCCCAAACCGATTGTCCATAGAATCAAAGAGGCGAGTTCCAGGAAGTAGTTCAGAAGAAAAAGATGTGGTCTCTGACCCATGTCGTTTATTGGAATGATAGTGGGTTTAAATGCGAATACAAGGCGTTAGACCAATACGCGTCATGTTCCATCGGTAACATTTTCGATCGCCTCTTTGCTTTCATAAGTGTTTATTTATCGAATCTAGCCTTCTTTCATTTTATTTTATTTTTCAAACTAGACCCTTGAGACACTTTTCCGACAACAACTTATCTCCGGCTCCGCTGCCCAAGAAGTTCAAAAGGTTCGATTAGCAATTGAAGCGGAGGCAAAATCCCGGTCTCTATTTGATTCTAGAATTGAATCTGCGCGGCAGCAGTACTTGGCTCAACTGGAGGATCTCTCGAAGGACGCAGAGATACTGCAGTCTCCAGAACTGTCCAGTCATTCCAGCGAGGCCTCATTTCCCTCCTCGGAGTCCACTTCTTTCCCATAATCCATCCGCTCTTAACATCTTTTTCCCCACAAGCAGTACTCTTCTTTATCTGTACGCAACAACAAGGTGCTTTACTGCACCTGAGTCAGTAATCAGACCAATTGTAAATATCCAAGCACGGAAAGCTGTGGTACCCCCGTTTTGCTACACCTCAAATCGTGCGTCTTATATAACCCTAGACAGCGAACGGTTGTACACGGCATTCTCAGGAAGATTGCTGTTGTATTGTTTTGGTGCTTTGTTTTAATATTGCTGTTAGGTCATTTTTTCCTAACAATTTTCTTTAGCGTGCTCGACATCCGTCATTTTAACCCCTTGTCAGTGTGCCCTTCACCCTGCCCCTCCTCATGACGTGTCCTTATTTACGAAGCAGTACTACAATTGCCTAAGACATTACTGGCTTGAACGGGGAAATTGTGAAGGAAAGACGTTCTTTGGGAAAACAGGGTAAGTTTATTCAGTAAATTTTCGACGTTGGATCCCCAGGTCGTCCTCGGACTTGAGGTGTGCAACGAACAGTTAAAGTTTCAAAAACGCAGACAAAATTACATAGTCATCTGGCGTGAGCGCCAATTGGCAGAAGCAGTTTGCGCCAGTCCATGGTGGACAACCTGGTAGTCATAATAGCGTAATTGCTAATTGGCAACCGTAATTTGCGTCAGTCCGGGGCGGAAAAAGGACAAATCATCCGGCATAATAAAAAATTAGCAGTTGTGGTGAACTTAAGTCCGTGTGGATCGGCTGTCGTCTCTTCCATCTTTCTTTAAAATGCTTATACATTCCATCCAGCTTGATAGGTCGGTTGATGCATGAATTATCGAAGTGCATAGCCTCAGGAAATGTTCGGTCTTTTTTGGAGGGCAAACTCTGACGATGCGTGTTTTTTTCCATGCAAGGGTGTGTCCTGTGTCAAGGCTATGTATAGCCTTTTTGGACAAATGGTCACGTCTCTTCACTGTCCGTTTGTGCTCGTATATGTGTGCGGAGATGGACTTTGCTGTTTGGCCACAGTATACAGTGCCACAAGCTTCGCATGGGATTTTGTAAATGACTTCCTTCTCATCGAAATAGCCAACTACAGCAGTCGCCGGTTATTAAGCCCACCGGCCCAGACCAAATTGGGCTTAATAAGCGGCTGGGCCTATTTAATGTGGGCTTAATAACCGGCGACTACTGTATATCCTTAGGGTGTACAAGATGGGAGCGTAAAGTAGCCGTCGGTTTATCTGCCACACATTTGGTATTTCTATAAAAGCCTCTCCACGAGTTTAGACACATTCCTTATATAAGGAAGAATTTTCCACGTCTTTGTTTTTTGGCGCCTGAGTCGAACTATGTAGTTCCCTTTTCTGGATTGTTGTTTCATGCATCGGCGTACAAAGTCTCCGGGGTAGCCATTGCGGGAAAACAAATCAAACAGATAATTTAGCTCGAATCGGTAGGTTCCTTCGTCAGAGCAATGTGTCTTCGCTCGGCGTAGCAGACTGTTGACGGCACTCCTTTTGTGAGAGATGGAGTTGTTGCTCTTATAGTTAAGAATAACTTCCGCGTACGTGTCTTTGTGGTAAATGGACGTTTGTTATTTTCCGTCAGTCTTTCGCTGCACGAGAACATCCAGAAATAGGAGTTTATTGTTAACCGCCCTCTCGAGCGTAAATTGAATTCCCGGAATGGTTGAATTGATAGTGTTGTAGAGCGCTTCTAGTTGATCCTTTGTAACGACAACAAACGTATCGTCTACATATCATACCCAAGGGAAGATCCATAGATTCCAGCTTCTGCATTGTTACTTCGTCGATGAATACAGAT